ATGCCAGATTTACCTCTCATTCTTTTCGCAGAGGCACAGCTATGTCTGTGGTTATAGCAGGTGCGTCTGAGGATGATGTTAAAATTTTGGGGCGTTGGAAATCTCGGGCTTACCGACGTTACATTCAGATTCCCCAAGCTATTTTTCATTGAATGCTACATTTGTATTGGCCTAAGTACTTTCCTCGTGTTTTGTTCCAATTTTCTTTTCATTTTTCTTGCAAGAATTGGCCCCTGGCAAGCCAACTGTATGGGTCATTGGGGATGGCTGGTGCTGGTGTGCTCGGGAGGCGGGGTCATCGCCTTGGGAAGAGCGTCTTAATCGGCTGGCCTATATCCACTGGATGGGACAGTGAAGACTCCAGATGTTCCAGTTCTCCGATTTCCTGTTGGAAGCATGCTCGGCAGTTCCGCTCTTGAAGTCATCATCCTGCAGTTTGGCGCCAACGACCTGGGGCTTGTACACAAACATTTACTGTGTATTTTAGCACCACAGTGCATCAATTTGACCAGAGAAGCACTGCCGCATACTGTCATTTTTTATTCCGAGTTACTGCCCCGCCAAACTTACCCTCACAACCTGAAGAAGAGTTCCCTCGAGCGTACGCGACGTTCGCTGAATGCGTACGTTCATTCATTATTATCACAAGGTTGTTATTTGGCACCCCCAGATCCAGTGGTCATCCGCTGCGTTATATAATGCGGATGAGTTTCATTTGACTGATGATAGTTGTTCATTCATCCTCAACAACTTCTACCAAGCCCCGGCGCCATATTGTTTGCCTGTTGCATCTCCCTTAATACCACCACCTGAGGTCTATTTGGCGGCGGTCATGTTGCCGACTTCATTCAGCAACAAGCCCATTTGGCATGAATTTCATTCAGGGACTGCAAATTGACCTCGGTTTTAAGGCACTGTATTCTTATTTACGACACTTATAAGAATGTGCCGAAAGGAAAGGCCTGACCCCTTCCTTTGTCGGGGGGGACACTAGATTATTCAGGGCCAAATTAAGAAAAGCCATTTCGTACTCACTAATTTCTGTCATTTGACATAAATAGCCGTAAGTGGTTTTTTGGAAATGCTCATTAGTTGGCCGCACCTCGTGGAAATTGCTGTCCGATCCCAGCGTTTGATGGTTGGCCCAAAGTTATTGTATGCTGGAGTAAATCCTTGTTAATTTGTTCATGAAAGTTGGGTAATTTTGCATTCTGCCAGATGTAATTGCTGTTTGAATTTACATATCGAAGGCTTTGTACTGCGCAGGTACATTCCAAAATTAATTTACCGCCCCATGTGCTTTGGGCGGAAACAAATGCTGATATGAAATTGCTTTTCATACATTTTTGCTGATAGCTCTATGTATTTGCTGATATGAGTTGCTGTTCCGCGTCATCAGGCTTGGGCGGGAACAATCGCTGACAATTGCTGATTGCCATAGTACAGGTACTTTTGCTGATATGTGTTGCTGTTCCGTATCACCAGGCTCGGGCGGGAACAATCTCTGTAATTTTTGCTGAATAGCTACACTTTGCCTGAAACGCAATGTAAGAATCTCCAAATGAAATTCATTTTAATTGAGAATAGAGGTGCCGTCATAATCTGATATAACAATGTAGCATTTCGTTTCTCCAGTTGTTACGAAGTGAAAAACATTTTTGGCTGTTAAAAACAAACAAAAAGCTGCTGCAAATCATTTCGAAAACCTAAAATATCAACTCTGAGTACTCCCCAAAATATCTCCTACTAACTTGTGTGTGAGATCCCAAACATTTCTGAAGATATCCCTGTCAATTCTCGTCAAAAAATATTTTGGTTACTCGTAAAATCGTTATGTTGTAAACAAAAAACTTCATGCAACTTCCAACGTTGGCCCGAGTCGGGATAATATTGCAAGCCTGCGTGCGCTGTCACGTGATCGTCACATGACACAAACATGCCAAGTTCCCGCCATTCTTTCATCGTCCAGAAATTTTGATCAAAGTTTTCGTTGCTCGCACGTTACGCTGTGACAAAAAGTTACGGGATGCGGGTTTGTTTTCAAGACATGAAGGCAAAATTTACCAGAAACTCAACGTAAACAGGAGCACAATAGCCACTTAAAACTCACAAATAAAAGTGAGTGTAATGGAAGAAAGGAAACATTTTTCCCCTTCGAATCGAAAACGCTTGTCACCGAGATGAAAGTCACCATTTTTCATTTTGCGAGTTTCCCTGTAATGTATGCTAATGTCCGTTAACGATGTCACGACTGGCTGGCCTAGCGACATTAGCATACAGCTCAAATCACAAAATTGGATGTGGGGATTTTGTTGAACTTTTTGGCATAAATGCTTCGTGACATCAAACTTTCTTTGCATTACACTTTATATTAGTGTAAAAGTGAACCGGCATCTAAGTACATGTATCTCTGCAACTCTGAATTCTTTGAAATTTTCTTCATTATCCAGTCAAGACAGAAGTTATGTTTTTAACTTTCAAGTAGGTCAGTGGGTGTGTGACAAGTTTGTCAGTCAAACCTCATTAATAACAGGACTTTAAATGTAAGATTCTCCTTTAACAAGAATTCTTTTTTACGCCCCAATGCTTAGTTTTTCTACATTTGTATTATAAAAGGTTTCATTTTTTAGTCACAAATGTTGAACCCACTGCAATATGTGCAATGTTTGGTGACAATTGTAATGCTTTATGACATTAAAATTGCTTCACATTAATTCCCATTCATTGGAAATATGGAGAGGTTTTAGAGTATATTTGTATCCCTTATTTATTTGAGATCACTATTCATTGACTGGAAACATGAAATGTTGTTGCCATTGTTACAACAAAATCTAATGCAGTTCCCAGTGTAAATTAATGTTTGTATTGTGACGGTTTTCCCACGTGTAACAAAGAAACCGGTTTCTCTGTTACACGTGAAATGAATCATAAAGCTGTTTATTAAACTAAAAATTTGAAAACACTTAACCCTAACAGTCCTCAATTCTTGACCTGTTAAAGGATTGAGGACTGTTGGGGTTAATGTTTCTGGCAAAGGTGCACAAGCTAAATGTCATGCATATCTATGAGCTGTGCAAAATATTTGCTATAAGCAACTCTGTGTTAAACCAAACAAACCTTTCCAAAATAATTAAAAAAAAAACCAAAAAGTGAATTTTGGGGGAAAATGTCTGCCCATTTTTATGCCGCCTGAAACCCTATCTAGAAAAAAAACTAGTGATGAGAATATATGATATGTACACAAAACAAAATTGGCAACAGTTGAAAAGAAACCTTTACTAACCAAAAATGGAACCATCATATTTGGTTTCTCTGTTACACATCAAATAATTTCCCGCACCACTGCACAAATTGAGTTTGTACACGTCAAGTAGTTATTCAAAGCAAAAATCATTTCCATTTATTGCATGTATGTATTATCAATTACATATCAACAAGTTTCGAATTTGTTTAGACAATTTTGAAAGTTTGACCACCATGTCACACATTTTGCCCCATATTTAGAATAAAGACTCATATATTTTCTGGTTTGGTAATTTTTGAGAGCCAATCTTCCAGCTTTTGAAAGATTATCATGCAAGTTTTCCGTACCAGAGTCACAAGTGTTGCATACACATGCTTGGCTGACAGTGTGCATTGTCACCTGTGGACACATCAACATACAAGTATGCAGGCTACCAAAAACGACACAGACAGCACCATGTGTTGGCCGTTGTCTTTTCATGAATTCGATTCTCCTCAACTTCCAAGTAATTATCACCCATAAATTTACCTTGTTCGTTAGAGCCGTGTTCATTACAGGGACACTCCACTGTAATTGGCACAAAAACAAATAAATTGACCTAATGTAATAATACTTATCCCTTTTTGTATACACTGGTAGGCAAATGCTATGACTGTGACAAAGCAAGAGAAAGATTTATAATAAACTGATAAAGGTTGTTTTTGTTTTCATTAAATCAACTCACAATAACCAGAATTTAATTTTTTGTTAAATCAGTTAGCAAATAACCTTTAATCACTTCATGCCAGGGCATTTTTCAATGTTGATGATGCTGAGCCGCCATGACTATCAAGTTTTCCGTTTTCAAAATCCTTTATTGAAATCTGTGACTATACTTCCTTTTTGAAACAATGCTCCTGAAAAACCTAAGGTAAGTGTTTTCTAAGTAAATGCTTCAGAATTTCGCAACTAAATTTCACTTCTTAGGACATGTTATCACTTTCTGAATACTGTTATAGGCCTAATTAAAAGTTTACCCACTTGCTGCCGGGTGGATTTTTCTCGAGCAAGACAAGATGCCGTCTCATTTTCAAGATTTTACGTTTTCAAAAATTCATCATTTCATTTAACGGTCATTTATAACCACACAAAGTAATCTTTAGGTACTACTCTAAGGTGACAGGTGACCTTCATTGACGCCTGAGTATTTCAGCCAGGACAGCAGCCTTATAAAAAGAGCCCAGATCCTGCGGTGTTATGNCGCAAGCTCTCGGACAAGCACTGAGCATACAGTGCTTATTAATATACGTTGGGTAAGGGCAAAAACCGTCATATATATAATTAACATTTCCCCAATGCAAAAAAAATACCTCTTGAAAATAACTTTCTTTTGTGTTCACGAACCTGGCTCAGTGCACTGCTGACCTCTTTTCAATAGGGGCCATAGTTAGCGTGCAGCGGTGCTGTGTGGCTCATCGCTGCAGTGGTGGAGCGCTTTTGTCCCCGGTGGTAATCCGCTCGCTCTCAATGCCCCAAACCCTGGTGTACGGTTTAAAAACAAGGCTGGATTATCACCACTTTTTAGAGTGAAAAATGTCAGTAGTGCCAAGCAGCCTGGTCTTTTGAGCGGAGTACAGTCTTTTATTACAGGGCCCTTTCCTTTGTCTGAGTTCGGAGACCCTGGCCACGCATATAAACCATAAGTCTCTGATTCCGGAGTCCCCGGCAGGAAGTGGTTAAAAAGGTATACAATTTAATGCATACAAACTGCACTTACCTCAGGATCAAAACACTCAGCTATCTGTTCAAGTTCTTCTTCAGTCAGTGTCTTCAGGATCTCGTCTTCATCTATATCTTTGTATTTGTCTAAATCTCCATAGATTCCATACTTTATGTTGGCCATTTTGCGCACTGGTCTGGAAGTGATGACAGAAAAAATGCCATTAATGCAAGTACAAGGTGCATGGTACATGTAAATTAACATGCACATAGAAGAATGAATAAATCTAACTTAATGTGGAAAGATCGCTGAAATTAAATTGAAACAATATTAAGTTGTTTGGAAGGTAATTTTACATCATGTAATCAAAGAATGTGATATAAACTTACACAATGATAAGTGAGGTATGAAAGGACACAAAAGAATTCACCCCAAATCTAGAGAATGACCTAAATACTGGTACACCTTGACTAAAATCAGAGTAAGGGTGCCCAATTTATATATATATGTCTGAAATCACTGACTTTCCATTGAAATAGGACTGACATCATATGCAGAACAATGTTTTGAAATTTATTTCATGTTATGTATAGATACACCAATATCCTTGGCTTGTTCACCTCCAATAGGAAATTACCAACACCTTTGGCAATGCAGAATATTTATTTAAAGGTAATGGAGATGCAACAGAAATTTCAATATTTGAAGGTCTTTTAATATAAACTTGTGTTTCCTAGTGTCAAGTAAAATGTTATCTGGTGTTTTAGCAATCACTTCACAATACTAATCCCTAAATTGAACAGAGATATTAATGCAATTTTTTCATCTTTTCTTACATCTACACCGTATACATGTACAGCTGTTTTAAAAGTGCAGCACAGGCCAATCCTAACTGTGACGGTCTAGTTAAGATATGACTGAACTCGTCAAGATGGCCAGTAGTAAAAGTGCTGTGGATCATACCTACATGTGTACCGGTACATGGGTCTTTCTTTTAAATAAGAGGCCAAATGTGTGACATGGTGGTCAGCATTTCAAAACTGTCTAAACAAATTCAAAACTTGATATGTAACTGATACTACATTCATGCAATAAATGTACATGTAAATGATATTTGCTTTGAATAACTACTTGATATGTACAGACTCAATTTGTGCAGTGGTGCAGCAAATTATTTGCTGTGTAACACAGAAACCAACTAGAGGTAGTGGTTGTTACAGCAACAACCAAAGAGCCGTTTCGGATTTCAAGTTGTATAATAACAAAATAACAAAGAATTTAATTAAAAAAAATAACAAGGTGACACCATCATGACGTCATCAATCCGGAATAATTCTTGCATCAAGGTCTTTGTTGGCTGTAACTTTGAAAATGATCACAGACGTCGAAGTTACGATAATGCCTTGAGTAGTGGGGAACTGTTTGCTACTAATGTACATGTAGATGTTACGCATATTAGGGATCTATGAAAGTCAGCCTTCAGGGTTAGGGTTCTTGTCAAAAAAATTCTGCAGACTGTACACGGATTTATGCAGAAATCCATCCGTTGCTAAGGGTCGAGCAGTTCGTATACTCCGCGGCCGTATTGGTCCATGCATGGTCCAGTTAATGAGGCCAGTACGGCTGGCCCTCTTTTGTCATTATAATGTTTTACTAAATAATTCATGATAAGTTGCAGGCTGTATTATAATAACGCAAGGTCCGCAAACAAGCTGCATCGAAGTAATTCCCTGCAGAATAAATGAAAATAACTCGTGAGCGCATTTGACATGCAGTGTTTGCAGTGTACAGTGTAAAAAAATACCACTAAAATATTTGGGAACAGCCTCGAACTGCAAAAAAAAAAGAAAAAAATAAAGCCCTAAACAGATCGTTTTGAAATTTTGACAGGTTTATTTTGAGTGTTTCTTTCGTACGTTCCTAGAATTTCATTGATAAATACTAAATTGTTTTGGTTTTAAGGTAAAAGTTACGCATCTCTCGCGTTCATGTTCCTGAACAGTCTCGGAGATCTGGACACGCCGGCATCACTCTCAGCGGCTCTTCAGACAAACTCATTTCGGGACAGAATTTTCTAAAAACGATCTGGGCATTCTGATTGGTTTAACTGTCTTTGTGACATTTTCCAAATAGATTCGAAGCTTCCCCTCACCAGTATTCCATGATGATCCATTCACAGACGACGAAATTACCTTTTGAAAAGTACAACATAGTTTTTCGAGACTAAAATGCCCGTTCTTTGTCAGAGAACAACGTTCGTGCAAGTCTTTGATCTTTCATCATTATTTTCATTTGGGCTGTAAAGTTTTATGATGTGAAACGGCCCATGGAAAGCGAAATGAAAAGGACAGGCTTTGGCGATTCGCCGAGTGTGGTTGCACACAGTGCACGGAGATGCCTCGTGGCATGCGTGGTGCTATCTTGTATTGTGTGAGTCTGCCTTCATGTCCATGTACATACATGTATAGGGTATGCATACACATATAGCAGTTAGCATCATATACACGGTATGCCTGTCACGAGTCGTGCAACCACGATGCTGCCTGCTGGTACCAGAATTTCGTCCTTTCAAAGTCCCATTCAGTGAGATAATAATGTGAGGATTCTAAAGAGGGAAATCTGATAATGGTGAAACTGAAAGACGGAAATCTGGGGAACTTATCATTTCATTGTGTTAATGTCAGAGATTGACCCCAAAATTCGAAGTCGTCCCCATATCATCATTCTAATTTGGTGGTGTAAACCATTGCTCGAAGAGCTACTTGTGCATGCTTACACGTAGATTTCTATTCTTCAAAAGAAGAAAATGAATTTGTTTAATTTGCTGCAGAATTGCCAGAAATATACCAGACAAGAGTGAAGAAAAACAACACCGTGATGGGAGAGCAGAGGAAAATTCAAGAGTGGCTAAAACTCAGCAGCTGGAAATAAATCAGATATGGAAGCTCCTGTCCAGATTAATGCTGGATTGTGTATTACGTGGTATATTTGCTGAGAAGATCCCTTAAAGAAATATTTGTGTAATTCATTGCAACCCTTGAAATCAACAGAAATGAATAGGGTGTTTATTACATGTATGTAATTATTGACAAGTCTCATTGTGAGCTTTTAAATTGTGTATTTCTGAAAATTTTGTTTATTTCTTTTGTCTATTAAAAAATTCAAGGATTGATTTTATGTGTGTTCTTTTTCCATAAAATAGCTCTTATAATTTTTTGTAATAGACAGTAAACATATTGATTGAAGCTTTTAACAAGGACCAATAATTCTTCTATGAAAACCGTCACGATGCAACGAGCAAGTACTTATTGCTACCAAGTCCAAGAAGAAAGCAACTCTCACAAATTTACAGGTACAATAATGCTGGATTTTAAATAGGGAATTGCCTTTGGTGGCCTGGGTTCCATATTAAAGAAAAAATGCAACCCATAAAGGCCATATGCATTCATCTTGCCAAGCCATTTTACCTGACATGAAGTTTTCAAATTTTCAATGCTATCAGAAAAACCACTGAACTGAAACTCCTGTTATCTTTTTTTGGTAGTGCAATCATTTTCTAAACTGGAGCCCAGTCAGACTAGGCCTTAATGGGACCAGTGATTACACAAAACCTAATTTTGTGCCATGCACAATTTGTTTGGCCTTTTTATGGATATATTGTATTAAGATGGGTAGCATAGCCATCGACAGCTAGGCCATGGCTCATTGCCAAGACAGGACAGTGGGAACTAGGTGCAGGCAGCTTGCCACGTTTGCGTTGACCAATGAGACTTATCCAAGGGACCAGGGCTGGAGGGGTTCATTTTCATTATTGGGCGACTGTTGTCAGGAACTTACGTCAAGCATGATCAAATAGCCACTCAAAGGGGCCGGTTTCAGGGGTTGCCTGGCAACAGTATTGTCAAGGTAATTGTCAGCAATATGTTTAGGGCCTGTAATGCATACCAACATCCCCGAGGTATCTGAAATATGCATTTAATTATTTTCAGTTTCTTTTCATTTTTTGTTGGTTAACTAGTTACTTTTTTATCATTCCCACAAAACAAGATTACCCCCCAAAAGTGATATTTCTGAACTCGGCTTTCAGTAATTGCTCATGTGGCAACTCTCAACTTTCTCAGGCACTCAGGACAATGTTTTAAACTGTGTTTTTTACCACTCTGATGAAAGTCCAAAGACACAGGGAGTTGAACTTGGCAGAGGTTTGCACAGTATCACCACTTTTAGGGGCCAAACTGCCTACTTTTTCAACATATACTGTGGGGGGGGGCACTTTTAATGCTAAAGCTAGCCACTGTGTACCCCACAGAGCTTTGCATGCACGGGCTTGTGAAATACTTTCCAGCGCATTCTTCCTTCCATGGTGCTTTGTAGTCAGCTCCCCTGTGATCTGTGCATGACAATCTGTACTGGACGAGTATTGATACGGGAACAAGACCTCATTGGAAGTCTGCGCAACCCACGAGGTCCGCCTTGTTGCAATATAAAATTTTGCTTGCAGTCATTGTTGGCTTCAAATCCCAGTGACCATGGCAAAATCAGGTCTTCCACCCCAAGTCGCTAAGTATCACCAGTACATGTGTAAGCAACAGTATCCGCTAGACTGCAAAGCTTGGCACATTTGCTTTTATATATTTGCTTATCAGCTTGTAGGGTAATGTAGGCCGTGAATTACAGTCAAATTGGACAACCTCAAATTACTTTTAGAGCAATTATTTTCAGAAAACCCGACATTTACGGCTAAAGGAAATAATGACTAAAGAAATAAATACCTGTATAAGCCAAGGTGGAATTATAATAAAACCTACTGTACAAGAAACAAAACCACGCTTAAAATGAATTCAATGATAATTAAATGGGTCAGAAATGTTTGGATAGTGCGGTGTTAACAAAATTCATCACAGTAGAAAGTAAAGTTTTTACTACCTACATTTTACGGAAAGCTTCTGTAACTTTACTTTGTAAGGCCAGTGAAGTTCTACAATAAAACTTTTTTCCTCCCCATTATTAATTAAATTTTCCGACCCGTATCATTCTGTCGAAGCGCGTGGGAAAAATTACGTATATCTAAAACTCAATTAAATATAAGAAAGTGGTTTTTGACAGCGTCAAAGCAAAAGAAACATGGGGCTTCAAGAAAAAAAAGAGGGCTACCGACAAAATATGATTGGACGCTAAGTCAAAAGAATGTTTGAG